ATGGATTTGGAGTCTGCTAATAGGTAGTGCCAAGTTACATGTGGACATTTATAGCAGTTGGGTGTTTGGTAGTCATTCCTTCAGTATTTATGCACAAGAGCCTAGCAGGATTAATAAGGTTAACATAAGAACTAGGGAATGCTGACTCCTCATTATTCCAGAGGAAGAGGAGCATTGAAACCTGTTAACAAAATCTCTTCTGCAGGGGTGGCAGAACTCCACCGTGTTTCTGAGGCCCAGTCCATGCCAGCCGTCATCAGCGTTCATACCAACTCCCCCTGGCGTGACTAGGCAAAGCCCAGTGTGTGCCTGGTGGCTCATCCCAGTCGGAAAGCCTGGGGTGAAGCCAGGGAGGGCAGCAAGCTGTTTGCCAGGGACTTGGGCAGTAGGGCCAGTATTGGCAAGAGGGAGAGTACAGGAATACTGGAGGGAAAATAAAAGGAGTGTCAGACACTTGCGCCAGGGCTGGTGGGAGATACAAATGTTTAAGTTGGCATGGTGCCCTAACGTTAGCCAAAGGTGCAGAACATTGTTAAATTGCTCAGCGGGAGTTCAGACCCGAGTGTTGTGCAATCTGGGGAGCGCAGGATAAGCCAGACGTGTACAATAGAGAATGATGGGAAAGCAGTTCACACGAGTGCTTCATTTTATGAACTGTATTTTTATCAGACAGCTTTTTAATTTCTGCTATCAAAGCTTGACTAAATGCTTCCCTCTCAAGAGTGCTGAGGGAGCAAGGCTGGGGTTTAATACACTGGATGTATCTTAGGGCCGTTTTGTTTTAGGTAGGAGTTGCTGATCTGATAAAGGGACTCCACGGAAAAAACCTGCTTTTATTAAGTATGCTTTGTGTACATGATACATGCTTGCATTATTAATGGTGCTGCTTCTTGCAGCCTAACTGTGGGAAGAAAGCAGATCTACCCATAGGACTTTTGGCAAAGTTCTTATGCAAAGAGGCGGTCTAGGAGGGTAGTGTCTGAGAGCCTCAGGCAAAGATTAATATCTCTGTAGCAGGACAATGCTGTCTGGAGAGTATGTGCCTCCTGGTGTCAGAGATTGGAATATCTTTTTATTACAAAACAAAACAAAACCAACCAAAAAAACCCAACAGCCACCAAAAAACAACCTTAAGAAAGTATTTATCCCAAGCACCCTCTTCTGGGCAAGTTGACAGAGTTCTTAAAATCTTTTGTATTGTTTTAAATTACTTTGTCTCTGAAGTTTCTCTAATGTTCTCAGAAGCTTACAGCTTCTGATAGAACAACAGAAGCAATTTTTAATACAATGCCTTCTAATAATGTTACCACATTGAAATACGTTTTTTAAATTTTCTTTGTTATTTTGTTTTGAATATTCTTCTTTATAACGGTTCACTTCATGTTATATATTTTTCACACCTCCTCAGGAAGGTGGCATTATATGGTGTTTTTAGCATAACTAATTAATATAGCAGAGACTGAAATAAGCACTGTTTTAGAAACCCAAGCGCCTGCAAGACAACTTGCTGTCATTTAATGGAAACCATGTAGACCTAATTTCCTCTCATTTTTTTTGCTACCATGATAGCTTTGTACTTGTCTGTCATTTTCTGTGTTTGGAAAGCCAGTGGTGAGTATTGGAGCCACTGGAGAGAACAGCATAGAGTGCTGGTTTCTCAGTCATGCCTGGAAACGGGTATTCTCCATAAACAGTCGCTTTAGGTGCTTTTGGTAAAGAAGGGGAACCTTTTCCCATGAAACTGTGGAAACTTGAACACGTGGGCTTTATTTTACCAAGTGTGCACCTTTCTAATTGTGCCAGGGACTGCATTGCCAGCTTGGTTGCTATGTGGTCCCGTGTTGGGAGTGCTCTGTGGGCTGTGTGAGGATGTGTGTAACTGGGACTTTTAATCTGCTTCTGGCAAACAGGGCCTTACGTGATCTCCTGTTTTGTGTCATACTAAGACTGAATTCTGCATCCCACATTCTGGCTAAGAGAAGTGTCCAAGAGAGAAGGTTTTTATTAAAAATGATATGTTTTCCCAGAAATTTCTTTTCGAAAGCCAACTCTTTTGCATTCCTAGTAGCTTACTTTTTCCTCCTTTGTTAAGGGACTTGATAATGCTGCAAAAAATTCAGTGTCTTCAGGAGTTTAGGGTCATTGGAACCATACAGCACTGATCTTTCCCTGATGAAAATCTCCCATTCTTACAGCTAACAGTTGGATACTTTACACTGAGAAAAAGGTGGATGGGATGTAGAACTTGCTACATGGTGAGAAGAGGTGAAGGGTGTGAAATTATGAACAAGGCTGGTAAAAGAATGCCAGATGGGTTAGGAGAGTTAAAAAAAAAAAAAAAGATAGACTAAGTGTTTAGAAGTTAGGAACAATTTTATCTAGTTACTTACCTACAGTACCTTGTCCAGAGAAATGTTACATTCAGGCTTGAGCTTAGCCTCCATGTTGAAAACTGAGCATAAGGAAGAAAGTACAGCTAAGAAAAACCCACTTAGCATGAATCCTCAAAGCAGTCCTGGAGGCATTACATACCACCTGTATCCAGAACCCAATTTCTCCGATGTTCACCTCTTGGGGTTGGCAAACACAGTGTTTGTCTACTGTGGCTGTGTGGTTCAGAGCCTGTGAGATGGGTTATAGATCTGCCATCACAGCATAAACTCCAAAGGAATGCTGACTGTTGGTTATGGGTACCCTTTTTCTCCATATGGGTGTCTTCCTACAGGACTTCATTTTGAGCTATGGCAGTATTGTTCAGGCAAGAAATAGCATCATAGCCATATTGTAAATTGAGCTGCTAAGAGGTCTCTAATCATGAATCAGCTGGTGTGTCACTTAACTTTACCTTGACAGGACTTTCTGCAGAACAAGAAATACCTTTTTCTGTAGCTGTCCTTGATGTTCTGAATAAGGAACATTTTGCCTGTAGTAGCCTGCTTTTTAACCATTTCACTTTGTGCTCTCTCATCAGAGGATGTGCTGAGTAAAGATGCTGGGGAGTGTGCAATATGCCTGGAAGAGCTGCAGCAAGGAGATACTATAGCACGGCTGCCTTGCCTCTGCATATATCATAAAGGGCAAGTATTCCATGGGATGGATATAAAATATGAGAAGGTTGCATTTACTGGGTAACTCCTTAAGGGGTGCTTAAAGGAGCTTTAAAACTTAGTTGCTTTTTACATTTAAAAACAAACAACAACGAAACGACAGCAGCAACCCTAAAGAGGTTTTTTAAATTACATCTCTGTGCATCTTCACCATGTATTTGAAGTTATTTTTCCCTGCTATAATTTTGTCATTCTTGCAAAATCACCTGTATGGGGAAGGAGTGCACATCATGGCTGAGGAGCTTAGTGTGCTTGTTTTGTCAAATGCTAATAGATGTGGGCAGGGAGGAGGGGGAATGCTTTTTAAACCTGTTTCATATTTTGTTTTCACAAGTGTCTGTAACTACGGGAAGTAAAATGTCAATAAATTATATCAGCAAAATGATAATGTTAATAGTGAAGTAGCCTGTGTAAAAAAGCTGGACAGCAACTCGTAAAATGCTTCCTGAGAAAATTTTAACACTTAAGAAATTTAGTTTTTCAACAGTGTTTAATATCTAAATATTATTGTGGTTTGGGGTTATTAATTTTTCCAATTATGGGTGTGTATGATACACTTTGTATAATATAAAATCCTACTAGTCATTGAAATTACGCAAAACCAATTTATATTCATATGTTACTGCTAAATGTTTCTGATATTCATGTCAATTGTTTTCATTTTTGTTTTGTATCCAACAGCTGCATAGATGAATGGTTTGAAGTAAATCGATCTTGCCCTGAGCATCCATCTGATTAAGACAAGATTCATGTTTTTAGGTAATGTTTATTTTTAGACATGTACATTTCAACAATAAATATCTTGATTATCTGGAGTAACTCTATGCTAATTTTTTTTTCATTTGTGAATTTGCTACTGTGTCTCAGAACTGTAATATTAATCAGTAAGCATTGACATGTATTGCAATATAGGTAAAAGGTTTCTGCATCCTACCATGGCATGGTCTGAAATATTGTGTTCCAGTTTTAGTACTGGAAAGCGGCAAGTAATGGCAATTTAAAGCTTTAACCATTAACTTCTAAAGAATATTTTTCCATGGAAATGAAACAAAATCAAAATAATATAATTGTGTAATTTTGGATTGTTTCATGAGTACTGGCATTTATTTCTGACACGAAGCTTTTGGAATCATATGGAAAAGTTAAAACTAGATATTTTCAGAACTGCTTTCATGTTAATGCATTCCAGAATGTTTAAAATATGTAAATAAATAAAAAATGTTGACCTGTTTCTATCCATCCCATCTCACAGAGGTTCACGTATTTCCAGCTTATGTTTTGTTTTAATGATTGCAGATCTGCAATCAGTGTCAAAACTTTAAAGGATAGGTTTATTCTTTTTGCTGACTAGCTCAAAAACTTTATCTTACATTAAACCCCTAAGCGTTGCAAAACACACTAACAATCATCATAATTCTTAGAGACATAGAGATATCTGAAATTCTAGCTGGTGTCTGAGGGTTTGGTTTTGTTGTTCTGAGGGAAACTGGCATTTATTTGTGCATTTATTTCATGTTGCTTCATGAGTCTTTGTTGCAGGGGTAGCAGAGAAAACCTGAAGGAAGGTATCCTGCTACAGGGATAATTGTTTTAATCTCAGGGCAATGTTAGCCAAAATTAATAAACAAATGCATTTCCTATATTGCCCCCAACTGCTGACTGTGGCAGAAACCTACATGCTGTTCATGAATGCCTTTGTCTCTGTACATGCTCATGGGTGTCTAACCTCATATTAAATTCTATTTGCTTTGTTTACAGCAGAGATGATGATAACTAGGGGCTTAGGAAAAAAGGGAAGGAAAACACGGTGGTTGTGCTCATGCTGTTTGAGTGTGTTCTGTACTGAAATAGCTGAAATGATGGTACTTTGTCTTCTGCTTTTCCAACAGCTGCTTCCACTGATCAGAAAACATAGGAGATGTGAGGTTCCCTTGCTGAACACAGCATGCCTGGCTTGAGACTTAGAGTTCTTTGTGGCTGAAAAAGGCAAAGATGGACAATGACATGGAAAAAAACATTGCAGACACCAGTTACTTGCCAGTAGTGCTCAGTATACCAAACACTCATGCAAAGGACATACAGGGATTTTGAAAATGCTGCACATCCTGTAACAATCGACTCCCCACAGACATTACTGACGCTATTTTGTATCGAAGGCCAAAGTTCCTAATTTCAGCCTAACTTCTGGTTCTGTGAAGAAGCGAGTTATTGGACGTTTCCTACTGCCTCGAGTGGAAGCGGAGATGTTCGATACGTGCTGTCTGAGACCCTTGCAGGAGGATGGCCCCAGATTTGAGTGGGAACGTTTTCACCTTCTCGTTGGCTGAAGAATAGTAAATGGCAAACTAAATAAATTCTAATAGTGTGACCTTAATTTACTGAATTCACACCCGGTTTTATGTTCTTCACTTTTTTCAAGAACAGAAAACATAAACTGCTCTGCGTAGGAATATTTCAAAATTTTGTAACTAAACCTTTGTCACAATGCAGTCCAAAGAGTAAAACCAAGACAGGTAACTAATTTATATTGATCAAGCTATAGAGATTGTTGAGATCTGCACATTGTATTGCTATTTAAGTAACTAAAACATCTCTTTTACTGCTTGTGAGTAAAAACTACAAAAAAAAAATGCAGCAAAGCAAAATCTTACAGCTATGCAACTTTTTTTAAAATAGGAAAAAGAAAAGAATTACCAATTTTAAGTGCTGCCAGTTAAGGTAATTTGTTTAACGGGTATTTTTTTAAAGATGTTTCAGGTAATTATTTTATTGTACTACTCTCATCTCCAGGCTGCCTCCTGAGGTGTAAATGAATAACTGCAAATGTGGGCACAGCGAGAGGTTTTTATAGGCACAGGCGAGAGAACATCGAGGTGGGATTTGTGTTTAATTTTTAAAACATGCGCAAGTTCATGTTTCCTTGTTTGAATGTTTTTTTGGTGGCAGGATCTGTAGTACTTTGCATCTAAACCCTCGGTCTCTTCATGTGGAGACCAGCATTTGACAGTGTGGTTTGTTTTGGTTATTTTTTTTTTTTTAATGCATCTGCATTTGTTTAATTTATTATTATTTTACTGTATTATATTGTTATAACCAAGGCTCCACGAAACACAGGATGTCTCTGGGTGCGTACATCAAGTAAAACTGTGTATAAATATTAGTTCCCGTAAAGTATCACAGTTAAAATAAAAGAAGACAGAGAAAAAAAGACAATAAACTGGAACAGATATCAGGGCTTAGAAGCATACTTTTTATATTGAGAATTAATTGTAGTGGTTTCTGAATTTCACAGCACAGGGAAGAGTTTATGAATATTTATTAGCAACAGCATTCATAGTGAGTTTCAATAGTTAAAATAAGTTGCACAACACTTCAAACATTTTTCTTGTACATAAATAATTCTGGTTTTCTTTTTTTTGTTTAAGTACACATTTCTCTCTGTTGCTACTGTGATTCATATCAAAAAGGGCAAAGAACAGGAGCAACTGCTGCTATCTGGAGAACAAGTGCAGTGCGTGTTCTTAAACTCTCCCGTCTTGCTTGAAGAGCAGTTCTTCCCTGGATAACATTTTCTCCTGAATGTTGCTCTGTAAAATGCCTTTGTTATGCTGCAAATCTAAAGGAGTCCAAACTAGGTAATTGTCATAGTTGCCAGTGCAGTTTCTACATTTTTGGGCTTGCATCACTGGTTTCAGCGGAACCTGTAACTATGGGGCCCTGTTGTATTCTCTTTTTCAGTGGGAGCAGAATCATTTTGTCACACGTTCAATTCCGTAGTCACATCAAATGTACAGTTGTTCCCTGTAAAGAGCCCTTTCTCAACAAGAATATTTGTGTTGCCTTGTATTATCTTGGGGAAGGGAGGGAGGGGATGAGGAATTACAGCACCTGTTATACTCAAATAGTGGTGTTGCCTGCAGGCCCACTTTTTCAATGTTTTAAATTCCTGATACCTTCTGAAAGTAAAGCTTTTGCATTTGCATTGATTTAATGTTTACTGTTGGCTTTATGCCTACAGAAACCTGTAGCAATGTAAAGGGGTAGGTAAGTGTTTTGATGTCCTGGGCTCTGAGGTCATAGATAGCCTTTGGCTTGGGGATTAAGTAGGTAAATATTATAAACATGAATCTGTTTACAACTTGAACTCAGTTTTGGTAGTTCGTGGTAGTAGCTGATTTAAAGACCCAGCCATTATCACTGTTGTCCCATGTTTAGGAACAGTGTTAGAAAAGCATGCCACAAGCCAATGCACTGCGCGTGGTTTTGCAGGCAAGAGTCCATCGCTACTTCCATCAGCACAGTAGAGCAGCAATACCTTGGATTATTTGAGGAACTGACATGAGGTCAGCCTTAGTTTGACATTCTTGGTATCCATGAATCTCTTCTGAAAGACTATGGGGGGTTTTCTTGTATCAAAACCTGTAATAGAGACCAAGCCTAGAATGACCCTGGAAGCATGGCAGTGATGCTTGGGTTTGAAAACACCTGTGGAAACTCACCTAGGTAAGCTTTCTGTCACCATCAGTGGCTGATGACTATGCTGTAGGCATAGCTCTAGTCTTAGGCAACACCTTCAGTTTGAAAACATCCTCACAGGGGTGCTGAGTCACTGCTTCAGAAGGGGAAAATAAACCACCAAACAATTCCTGTGTCTTGATCAAGGAAAACCACACTTGTCCACAAGAAGCAATAACTTATATTATGGTGCGATATGCTTCTTTGCCTGTAAATATCTTGAGATTGCCAATTCTGTGCTGTTTCAGAGTATTTTTCTGTCATCTGGCCTATATCTTCCCTAAGTATGTAAAGGTGTGAAATAATTCCCATACTCAGGTCTGCCATAAACATGCTGCTTGCCAGCAGGGGAAGAGTAGACTCGACACTGTCTTGAAATGTGAGATTTTTCTGAACTTGTAACATACCCATGTCTCTTCAGTAGCAACTTGTGTTTTGAAGTTCATAGTGGAGGTGGCTGTGAGTTGAATTGTATATAACCATATCCCTACAATACCAAGAGAGTCACACTACTGTTGGCACAGGGCACCCTTTGTCCTATCTCTTATGAGTCAGTATATCTATAATAACACTTCCCTTTTAAAGGAGGTAGCTAATTTTCTTTCAGCGTGTGGATTCAATGATGAGTTCAGTGGGATGTAAAAGCAAAAATACAAAGCACACCACAAATTTTTGATATTTTATTTTTGGGAGGAATAAGGCCAAAACCAGATGGTCTTATTTGTAGTCAAGGTAGCTGTCATATTCAAGGTTAAGTGTACTGCGGTATTTTGAAAGGGACAACATATAGGTGATGTACAAAAACTTGAGTATGTACTTTTGACCTTGGTTTTTTTCCTTGCTCCCCCTCTTTTATGATGTAAAGGGGGCTTATGACTGAATGTCAAGATTCAGACATTCATCCTACTTCCTAATGTTAGGAGCATTGGCTTTTTAAGTCTTTCCTGAAAGGCTGGAGAGCTGGTAAAATGGACTCCCAGAAGACTAAAATCTCAACAAATATGAGAAAGATAATTTTTATTCAGAAATGTGGATATTTGGTGCTTCTGGATGGTTAATGTCTAATACATAAGATGTGCTTATGGATGCTTTTGGCATGCTGCCTTTTCCATGTGTGGGCTTCAGAAACTTGCTCCATTTCTTCTGTGTTCCACCAAAAGCAAGGAACTTGGTGGTTGAATATTACTATTCTCTCTACAGAAACAGCAGCAAAACATATTGGTACAAGCCATGATCTCTCTGAATTTCTGTGGATTTTAGCTGCTTTCCCACACTGAAAGAGAACATTCTTATGCAAATTTGGTATTGCTTTGTATCTTCTAATTTTGCTGGGAGTTTCCTGCTGAGAGACTCCCATATACCTGGGAATGCAGAAATGCTGCTATGGGATCTTCCAGCTCACCTTTGCCAGTGGAGGATTATCTCATTTTTTGATGAGTGCTATATTTTATGATTTACTTTCCACCCTTCCAGGCTTAAAAATCATTTTAGTATCAATTTCTTCTCTTCTTAGCTGAAGACACGTTATATTTTAGGCCATATTCCCTCAGTCTTTGGACAGGCTTTCCACTGGCATCAGCAAACATAATGTAAGAGGTTGTAACTGGAAGGGGAGGCTTGTTATGGGTTTCCTACAATCCAGCCAAATATGATTTTTTCATGCAACTCGTGCTGCTTAACTTTTTGTCATTCAAAACATTCTGTGTGAGCAGGTCACGACAGAACTGTGTCCAGGATTTGTTTCCTGAATGTAAAATTCTTGATGTTTCTGTTTCTATATAAATTAACCTGCTTGTAAAATCAAGTTGAAGATGTTGTAGCCTGTTGGGGGTTGAAAAATCCAACCCAGTCCTTACTCTCAGATTGCATTTGGTTATCGTACTACACATTGTAGGCTAGCTTCCCAAGCTGCTGTAAAGTCATGTCTCAATTACTACATCAGAGCTGATGATGGGATAAGCTGTAAAATGACCTCACGGTGGGGCATTATTAGTTGTTGAAGACTTGCTCAGGTAAACTACTGTAGGAATATCCTGCACCTGAAAAAGGTTGGACTTCATTCTGGTTTTGATCTAATAAGTTGCCAGTGTACAAGAAGTAGAAGGCAGCCAGCCCACTAACTGATCTTTCTGGCAGCTTTTAATCTATGTGTGTTTGTCTGAGAGACTTTTGCCCTTGGGTGTGCTTTGGCAAAGATTTTGCAACAATAAATAGGATTTGCTCGATTCTGGCAGAATTTCAAATGTAAGTAACCCGACATTGCAGGAACATAATCTGTTGCTGAATCCAGTTCCTCTTGTTTTCCCTCAAATCTGTCCCTTTTATTGCTAATTTCTTCTATTTAGTAGTAAACACTTCTCAACATGACTGGTCACAAGCTCTCAAGGTGTGAAATGCTAAGAGGAAGAGACATCAAAGCTTGATTCTGTGCTCTACTTGTATATATTAAGATGAAGCCTGGAGTATTTGTTACCATACAGTCAAGAATTCTCCCCAGTGATATTGCCAAAACACTGTTACTTTCAAGGAAGAAGGGAGCTAACTTAGCTGTAGAGGGGATGCTTTAATGAACTACTTAAAATCTACTTGTAACAAAGTTTAAGAGCTCCAGTGTCACACTGACACAGTGGTGATCCAGGGTTAACCTTGTCACTTGATTGTGAATCTCATTCTGGCTCTTCCTAGCCTTTGGCAGGTGCCTGCTGGTAGGGAGCAGAGTGTGCATTCCCTTTCTTATATGCCTCTTCCTACAGAGCTAACCCTGCCCACAGCAAGTTAGAGGGAACTCCATGCTAGCTTCTGAAATGCCACCCGTATGTGCAGTGGTAATGGACAAGATATCTTCCTTCATTACCCAGAGCAGAAATTGGAATGTAATTTGCAATGTTTAATGTAAAACATGTTTGTTTGTTTTGTTCGGGTTTTTTTTAATTGAGCAGTATGATTGCAAGTTGACTTAAGTTCTTCTAAGGTACTCTTTTCAGTGGTTTGCCAGTACATAATCATGAATGAAAATATTTTTTTATTGATTTTTAGGTTGTATGTTTAACATTCCATTCATGTAAAATATGTACAAATATATGTAATAAATCTTTTGAAGCACAGTTTTCCTCACACTTTCAGGTGGTGGTTTTTGGGATTTTTTTTTTAGTATTAGTAAAAGAGGCACTGCTGTGGGACAGAGCTTCTGTATGTCTGTGCTGGAGACTGAGCTGAAGCAGAGGAAGGAAAAGCAATGCATGGTGTAGAGTCACAGCTAGAAAAGCTTGGTATGTCACCTGTCTGCAGTCCTGCAGGTAGGAGTGCAGACCCTCTGGGCCAGCCTCTGGCTCCTCCAAGTCCCTCTCACTCTTCGCCTATCCTGCAAGCAGTGATGTGACAGGCATGTATCCATCTGGCCAAGGACGATCTCAACAGAACAGAGCTGATGTAGCTCCTATTTTCCTGGAGTGGCTGGAGGCAAGATGTCTCTGGTTGATGTGTCTTCTGTTGATCTTCAGCAGATGTGATGGCCTTAAAGGTTAGCATACATTAGAGATGCCAGGTCAGAAGGTGGGGAATCTCATGGGTGGTTTCAAAAGAGAAAAAAAAATAGTGAGGAGAAGAGGCTAGCAAACAGCCCTTTCTCATCACCTGAGATCTGGGAAGATCCATCAGAGCATCAAGGTACCTTAATACACTCCTCTTTCCTTCAGTTTCCTCTACCCAAATACCACTCTCACTTCCTCCCAAAACACTTCATAGTTTCCTCTTTAAAACTGACTCCCTGCCAGCTTACCCATGGCTGGGCAGTGCATGGATTTCTTCATCCCCAATGGTCACCCAGACTGTCCTGTCTGTCCCTAAACAGTTGGGAGGAGGCTACTATAACAGGCTCCCACAGAGATGTGGTGCTGGAAGAGGGAATTTCTGCCCAGAGCCACTGCGGACTTTAAATCGTTCTCTCTGGCAAGGGTGGGGCACTGCTATGGCAACTGCCTGGAAGCTTTCTGCCGGGGCAGTGACTGCAGCTACCCAACGAGTCGGGTTGCCTCCAGCGCTGCCTGCAGCAGGGAGCTGGGGGTGTGAGAGACCTGGCCAGCTGCGTTATCACTTCAGATCTTCCTGCTTGCCCTGGCACCAGCTAAGGACCTGCAGTCCTTTTGCTAAAAGTACATGAGATGAGGACAGGAGTACAGATGAGCCATGTGGTTTTAGATAGTATACAGTGTAAGTCTCCTGCGGGGAGAGTGAGATTTTAACACCTCTCCACCTACGTTAGTTGTGAATGGATCTGCGGGTGCTTTTAACAAAACAAAAGCACATTTCACCAAGGTTATGTAGAGAACATGGGAGAAAATGAAAGGAGTTCACTCTCCGGGAGAGAAATGCCACCTCTTACGTTGGTGTGTTGCATCCCGACCCAACAGGGTGCTGGTCCAAGCCAGGGGGACTGTCAGTGATGCATGGATTTATGGCTCAGGTTTCTCTGGGTGTCCATCCTTGCTTGCTCCACTTTTGAGATAAGCCTTTTGGTGTGGCTGGGGGTAGCTGAATCCATTGCTAGAGCACAGTGACAATTGGACCATCACAATTCTCCCTGTGGGAGATGATAGTTTTAATGCATGAATTATTCAAATCTGCACTGAGAGACAGTTGGATGTAATTATTGAGGAACATGTTTGTATCTCTTGTTAGTGTAATTTTTTTTCCACTACCCCAACCCCCCCACCCTGATTGCCTTTTGGAAAGCCTGAATCCCTTCACTGCCAGTAATTTCTGTGTTTTTCTCCTCAGTCTTGAGCTGTATTATGGAAGAAATTGATAACCAGTTAGAGCCGAGTTTGGCTTTGCATCAGGAAAATCTGCTGGAAATCCTTCTAGTTCAGTAGGTACAGGATTTCATGTGTGAAATTTAAATTAGTGGCATCTGTTGGTATCATATCCTACCTTCCTGCCTACGGCTGGGACATGGGACATGCCACCTCTGCCCCAAATTGCTTGCCCCGCAGGGTGAACTGGGATGCTGTGCTGGCCCCAGGCTGTTCCTGGGAACTCTCAGCAATAGGTAGTGATGTTGCATGTGTGTGTGTGTGTGTGTGTGTGTGTGTGTCTAACTCCAGCTACCACACGCTGTTGTTTGTCCATGTCCACTTCTGGATGCTGCACTGCTTTCAGCAGGAAGGGGAACACAATACACAGCCTGCGGCAAAGAGAGCAGGGAGGGGGTAAGAGTCCCCTGCAGCAGCTAGAGCTGAACGGGGAAGTTTTCTCCCCTTGGCTTTTGACTGCGCTGTGCTGGAAGGTCTTGTTCTCCTGAGGCTATGACACCTGAGCACTGTCTGTGCCTGGGGAGGTGCAGGCTGGAGCTTGCTGGTGTCTGCAAACATCCCCTCTGCGTATTTATTGAGTAGAGGAGGTTCCCAGCTCCTTCCACCCTGCAGGGAGAGGGATGTCTGTGTCCAAAAAAGCCAGGCAAGGCTGTCAGTACACTGCTCGTGAGGTGCTGTGCAGCTTGTGCCTGCTGTCTCCTCACCAGCCAGCCACTGGACAACAAGGAGCCTTAGCAAAAGCCAAGTGAGATGGAGTTTTCCAGTCCTCATTTAATAAAGCATCTGTTTTCTGAGGGGAATGAGATCAGGGATGCATGGAGGCAGGGAGGAGGGTTTGACATAAATAAATAATTGCATAAAACCCATCCTCAGTTGACGCAAGATGACTCACTCCTCGTAAAGGCAGGAGCGTAGAGAAGGCAGATCGCAAGCACAGGAACGTGTCCTCAGCTAGCTCGGTCGAAACTGCAGGTGCTTGGTACCTCTGCATTTGGCCCGTTATCTTTTGAGTCATGTTTTGTGCTGAGCTTCTGCCCTACTTTCGTTTTCACCCTGTTTACAGATTTCTTTGTTTGAACCTGTGTTTAAATTTTAACAAAACCTCCCTCCCCGCCCTTCCCGTCCTAGTTGCTTCTTTAAGCCAGCTTCAAACAGCAGGAAAAGCAAACAAACTCTGCTGAGCCCCATCAGGCTTTGTCACTGAGGAGAACAACCACCGTGGGGCTGTTTCCCCATCTGGTGGTGGGGTTTCCTCACTTGATTCCTGCCTCAGCGGACCCAGGTGTCTTCTAAAGGGAGCAGTTTTCCTCTTCACAAGTCACCCGGGCCAGGATTAACATCTGCTAAACTCAGGATTAAAGAATCTGGCAGGTAATGGGAGCATGAAAGCTTGACAGCTTCATTTGCTCCAGTCCGTGAGGTTCAACTCTCCCAGCTTGCGAGGCTTTAGCAGATAATTAAGTTGCTGCCTTCAGTGTATCAGATGAATACCTGGATACAAGAGGTTGGGCATAATTTATTTGTTTGCAAAGGGTTTTCTGGAGCTGGAACTCTAGCTCTCTGCCCCATGGGAGCAAAGGGGATGCTTCCACACCAGGGCTGGTTTGTTCTTGGGCACAGCCACTTGCTCCAGTGGTGGAAGTGGCCCATCAGCTGTGCCACCAGCAGCCACCTCATGAGCCAGCCTACCTATGGTGGGGGCTGGGATAGGGAAGCATGGCACCTGTCTCAAGATGCTCAGATCCAGGCTCGCCTGCACTGCACAAAGCACAGCCTCCTGGGACTGTTGGGAGCCCCTCTGTCAGCAGCCCTGGTGCCAGCCGTGGCTGCAGGCCCTGTGCGTGGCAAGAATTTATGTATTGCCACCATAATGGGTTGCTTGACCCCTGCAGACCTCAGGTGGGTGATGTGGCATCAGCCCTGCCCGAAATGTGCTGCTTGCCAGTGCAGTCACCCCAGGGACTCCCAGTTTGCACAGGAGTACAAGGGCACAGGACATCTTCTGCTTTCCCAGTATAAAGCAATGGCTGTAGTTTTTGCCCCTGGCTGAATAAAACCAGTTTTTATTCTTCAACCTGCCTGCAGTGATCTCTCATGACTTAATGCTTCTGAAGCTGCTATTTGCTCTGAAACATCATCCCTGCTTTCACGTCCCCCTGCGTACCTGAAGGCAGTTATTTCAAACCTTTGCAGTTCATGCCCTCAGCTCTCCTTTACCTCTGGGAGTGGAGAATGAACACTGGCTAACCTGGCACTGCCAAGCTTCGCAGGGTATTCAAACAGCAATTTCCCAGGGTGAAAGGGCAGATTCCCCAGTACCTGTAGTGCTCCCTGCATCCTCTCAGTTTGCCCCCACTCGGAGAAATGAGGAAGGACTTGCCACTATTACTATTTTGTGTTTTTAGAAGCCTTACCTATCCCACAGAGCAACTGAGATCCCTCAGCAAGCAAGCAGAAACCATCTTCTGTGAGTAAACTTGGAGTCCTCGAGTGCAGCAAATAGTTCCAGCCTGGCCTCCATTTTCACCTAGCACAATTTTGTTTCTACCTACTAAAGCAGCAGTCAAGACCTTTGAGTACAGCTGTAGCTTTTTCCTGCAGAGATTATTTGTTGCATCAGTTGAAAACTGAGCAGCCTCTGTAGTGCCCTCTCATTCCTCACAGCAAACCCATCCCTTGCTGCTGTTGCCTGGCTCTGATGCCTTTGCTCTCGACCACAGCCATTTGTACAGCTTTGCAGCAGTCTCCTGTTTTCCTTTGCTGAACTGAGGTAAGGGAGCAGAATGAAGCTACAGGGAAAAGGCGTGGGTGTCTCACTCTCTTCAGCATCAGTGCTGCTCCCATGGCATGGGATTGGGATCCTGCACTGGCTGTGGTGGAAGAGCAAAGGCTGCACCACCCTGCAAGTCCAGCTGGGGTCCAACACCTGGAAATGCATGTCTGACACAAGTAAGCAGCACCAGGCTCAGAAAAACATCCTTTCCTGAAGACCTGGTAGTGTGTGCCGGGAGCAGGACTGCACTGTGTTGCAGCAGGGCTCTCTTGAGGGCCACTTTGTTATTCTGGCACCAGTAAATACACACAGCTTGCACCAACCACATACAAGTGGTAATACCTCAAGCCAGCAAGTCTTTGCCCACAGCAGTGAATGGAAACACAAAGAACTTCTGCTGTCAGTGTGGCCAGAGGACTGTGGAAGCAGAGCATGGCAGCAGCATGTCCTGGAGCCACCATCATAGTTTCCCTCAGTGCCCCTAACTGGATTGGCACCAGCTGCTGGAAGGGTCCCTTAG